GACAGTATTCTGGCTTTAAATGAATAATTATTTTATAAAAATATGCTTTAGTTCAAGTAGTTCAGTAAAAAGTATTAAATTAAAACTCTTTTGCGGCTGATTGGTTTGACTAAAAGTTAAAAAAATATTACTGCTACTGTTGTATTATCAATATAAATTATTTTATTTTATTATTGAACTCTTTCAACTTGAAGACTTGAAACTCAGTTCTGGCTAATGATAGCATGTATCACTTTGCTATCATCTTTCGAGCAGTAATTGTTTTAACGAAAAAGAATTTTGCATGCGTGTAATAGGTAAGCTTACACAAAAACGCAACACTTGAAGAGGTTTTTCTTTTTTAATATCTTCTAAACTTTCTAACATTTTGTATCAGAAGGTTCAATACAAAGGCTTTTTAATGAAAAGGTTTGGCCTAAAGGTATCTTCTTATGTCTTGACTCTCACTGCTAATTCTTCCAATTTTTTCTTTCTGTGCTATCACAAGAACCTTTCCACACGGTCTCCTGACGAAGTACCATTCTGCTACGACTCTGGGGTTTGTAACTTCCAAAATAAAATCTTGAAAATTCTTGCGATTGTCTTACTGCATACACTTCTCACGAAAAAATAGATTTTTTTTTTTCAAGTTGCATATCTTTTTCAAAAAACTGGAAAAATGATCTTCGAATGTACCTACAGTAGCCGTGTTACAAGTTCTATGTTATAAGTTGTACATTTTTTATTCTACAATAAGGTTTTAGAGTGGAGAAAGTCAAAAAATTTTTGAAGTAGTATGGTGCAGAAAAAAGAATCTTGTTTTGTGTATTTTTGCAATGATATTGCCGACTACACAACCACTGCTAAGTCAAAATAGTAAATTAATGTATTACTGAAACAGTAATAGCAAAATAAAATTTGCTATCAATAGCCACTAGTGAGTTCCAAATATTTGCATCAGAAGAGTTCGACGACGAAGCAAAGTGATACATGTTGAAGAAGCAGTAATAATAATATTCTTTTGGTACATTTTATCCGTATCAGTCAGCAGCAAAAAATTAAATCTGTTGCTGAACTTACCTGCGACTGAATTAAAGCATGCTTATATATATCCTTGTTACTTAACTAAAGCATATTTTAATATATCAGTATTTTAAGTAAAACTAAAATACTTTCTTTCTGCAAAAACACCAAAATGTAGCATAAACCATAGATTTTTTGCAGTCTAGTTTCACTAATTACATTTTAATTTAACATTACAACTTTTACCATCATTCCTAACTGCAAAGTCTGTTTTGCAGCTCTCCAACAACTCTTTCAAGTGGAAGATAATTGCTGTAATACTCCTTTTCAAAAACTTTGAGACTCTTCTTAATACACTTTTATATTGTGCGCAATCGATAGTCGCAGACGCTCACGTAGCCAAACCAACTCTTAGCAAATAAACTTTGAAGACCGTCGCTACTGACAACTAGATAAGACGACGGAAGGTTCTGAGTTTTGCGCCGGTACTACCTAAAATATATAACTCTTTTATTACCCATGTAGTATTTGACAAGTGGATGGTTGTAGGGACTTTTAGACACTGGTCCACTACTCTAATTCATAGAATTTTTGAAGTTATTAATTAATTAATGAAATAATAAAATCTAACTGGTAAACAAAGCAAACTTCAACCGAAAAAGTAATCCGGCACTTACAAGTGAAAAAATTCTATAAACTGTGAGGAGGTACGGTAATACAACACAAGTCTTGGAAGAAAGTCAGAATCAGCTTAGAAGATTTGGCTGAAGAAATTGTCTGAGTCGGAATGGAGCTGACCAGAGTAGATCTTGTAGGTCTGCCTCCACTGCTTAAGTAAAAAAGCTGATATTACTGAAAATTCTTCACCCACCAGCAGCTTTCCTTCAGAAACAGATCAGTAACCACTATGGTATTATCTAAAATGACGTTTCGCACGCTGTCGGGATTATTAAGCTAGTATGCCTAAAAATGACCAACTTCACAAAAAATTTCCGAGAAATGAATATTCAAAAATACACACTCGTATACCAGATACTCTTCTTTTGTAGTCAATTTGAGTCAAGTTATATCACAATTTACACTTGTTTATTATTTATAATCAACAAAATTTTAGTCGCAACTCAAAATAAAGTTTTTTTTGAGTCACCTGATAATCTGAAACTTTTGTAGAATTCCTAGCGAATAAGAAGATGCGCCTTTGCCATGCCAGATTTTGCTCGTTTTCTTGTGTATTATATGTGAGAAGCAACACGTGGTTCTTAGTTACATTGCAAATCTTACAAATCAGCCAATTTCAGAAATCCACAAGAAGAAACTATATACTCACTGATCCAAAAGAAAAGCCCTCAATTTATTGGACGAAATCAACAACCGGCCTACTGGGTAAGGCTGTAGTAACAGTCACTACCAAAAAAGAACTGGAAAAATTAGAATTTGAGTCATCAGCGCATGAAGATAAATTCTCTTCAACATTTAAATTAAAAAAGGTTAATTGTGCAGAACCAAAGATTCAAAGTTTTATGGCCACAAAGACAGTGCAGCCTGAAACTAACCAAAGCAGCGTAGGAGTATACAGTAATCTTCACTCAAGTATAGCGAATCTTCTTGACACTATACCCCAGTTCCCAACAACATCAAAAAAAGAAAAAGAAACAGTATCAGACTTTGAAAATTTCACAGAATTTTTTACCGATCAAACTGATATAAACGGCTACAGTATCTCCAACAAAGAACAAAGGTCTAACACTGGAAAAATGGCAGAATATTCGATAACAACAGACCACGCTGACCAGGAACAGCAGGCCCGTACAATTCAACCTGGTAACACCAAAGTTATCCTTCTCCAAAATTATTCTGCTGAGAACAAAAATGACTATTTTAGAAAAAAAAACAGCGAAGTGAGAAATTATTTTAAGAATACGTTACTTATAACATCAAAAAATTTAAATTTTGCAGATGGTATGAACAGCAGCGAAGATAACAAAAACTTCAATAGTGAGTCGCAGCTAAAAAAATTTCCTCAAATGAAAGAAACGAATTTAAGAATCAATAAGCCTGAACACGCTGTTGAGAAAGCTACGTCTGGTGAACCTACAGATGCAACACATAGGCATGTCATTAAAAAGTGTTTCTTCTATAGCCGGTTCTCACTGCAAAATTGAAATCAGCCAACGTTTTTAACCGTATAACCGTATTCCAATTAAACTTTGCCACAGTCAGCCTTCATTACCATCAACCTCCAAAATATACCAATGTAAAAAAATGATTCATTGATATCCTCGCCTGCTTCAGAACAGTAAAAAGTAGTTTGTGTTTAGAGAATTTTTTTAAATGCACAATTAAAAAAATTGATTGGAACAATGTTTAAAGAAACAATATTCTTGATAATACATTTGAAAAAGTAACCTGAAATAATTCACATAAAAATCTCACAAAAATTATGAGCTCATTACCTTATTTCTTAAACAAGCAAGAATCAAAATGCTGACTAGTTTCAGTGGTGTGAGAGATCAAGCCGCCGAAGATAAACCTGGGTGCAGCTATCTTGAGAATTCGTTTGAGACAAACCACCCAGAGAAAAAATTAGACGAAAATGGAGAGTTAGAGCCACTTGAAGTCACCGGTAAGGTAGATACGAAAACTTAAAAGCACGTTAAACGTTGCTATTTTTTTCTAGCTGCTTCAGCTTCATAAAACATTTGTCAACAATTATTTGAAGTTTATTATAGTTTACATAACTAATTTTTTATTGAAGTACTTGGTGAAACAAATATACGAAATAAAACAGTTTTTAGACAGGATAGGAAGTGATGAAGGTCAGCTAGTCGGAACAGCGGATGGAAATTCATTTAGAGAGGACGAATCAGGAGTGAGCAAGGTGGAAGCGACAACTGGTAATCATAGTCCCAATGATTTTAAAAAGCAGGAGTCAACTGGTGCTCATCAAGAATTGAAAAATTTTGCGGAGCAGAAAAGTAACGAAAAACAAAAAACACTTACCAAAAAGGAAAAGAAGAAGTCTAATATAGAATTTGAAAATAATTTAATTGGAGAACCAGAAGAATGTTCAGCAGCGAAAGAACAATTTTTGAATGAGCAGCCTTCAGCAGAGACAGGGAAAAGGTTGTTCACGAACACTCATACCACCAGCGATATTGAACCTGAACTATTGGATGCAGAAGCTGTTGTGAACGACCTTCTGAATCAACTGTTACCATCCGAAAGCAAGGTATCTGGAAATTTGGCCAATGCCTTGCTTGTTGAAAGCGGAAACCAGGTAGGAATGCGCAGTGAAGCAAAGGCATCAAATGGTTTACAAAACTTGCCGCAGCCGTCTGCAAATCAAAGCTTCTTATTTAGAAAACCCGAACAAGCAGCTAAAAAAGACAACGAAGACGAAGGAAGAGCAACTGATAAAATTACTGCTACCAACAGTGTAAATAAAAAAGCTGTTTACGAAAAAGATTACACGATTGCAGATGAAAATACCATAAAAATGGAACTGTCAACTCCCCTACACATCAGAGTAAATGATAGCGAAAATAAATCGCAAGAACACTCAGCAGTTTCAAATGAAAATAAGGAAGAATTATCTTCACTAAGTTTCCGTGTAGGATTACCGGGAGAAACCACCGCTGATGATGCGAGTTTGGCATGTGACAGTCCATTGCCTAATACTGCAGCAGAAGAAGCAGAAAAAGAATCAACACTCAGCACGCGCTCCAGAGCTTCTAATGAGCTTGAAGAGAGCAGAGCGAATGAATTTTGTAGCACTGGAACAACGCAAGAAAATCAGAAATTTAATCAAGAATTAGCAGACACACTAAATTCTTACAATAGTAAACCATATTTGTCTACAAAACGAATAGATAACGAAGAACCAGAGATGGAAACAATGAAAAAATTTTCCCCAGCTGCAAGCAAATCTCAAACTGACAGTAGAAAATCCGAGGTTGCATACGCGTCACCCAAAAACACGCTTTTTTTTTATGAGGATTCACGTGATGACCCAGTAACATTTCCGTTCTCATTGGACAACGTTTCACCTTTTTCACCAAACTATATGCAAAAAGAATTTAGTTTTGACATCGACAAGGTTGCACCATTACCCCCTCTCAGTTTGGAACCAGAAACAACAGATAACGAGTATCAGTGGCAGAAGCAGAAAAATCTCTGTGTTCGAGACGAAAAAAAAAATTTTTTAACGAGAACAGTCGTTGTGCAAGGTATATAGCATACTATTTTGAACGCAAGCACTAAGGGGCACGCTCGACCAAAATTTAACATTTACAGTGAAAGTTTTAGGCTTGGATACTGATATAGACCATCTGACTAGGCAGCCATTTGAAGATCTTCCGATCAGCGAAGAAGCAGCAGAAGTTGCCATTGATACTTCGACACCCGAGC